GTGTGTTGTCTCTTTGTGTGCTTTCCGCTTCTTGAGATATTTTTTTCAAACTGCGCGTCTTTGTTAAACGTCTAACAACAACGAGAGAATCTAATTCCTCGGGACACACGCGCGAGGCACGATATTTAGCGGTGTATATATGCGAGGGTATATACGTCCTCGGGGACAAGATCTCGTGAAACTTCATTGTTGCGTTATTACCGGAATAGATTAGCGCATTGAGATAAAGGATGATACGTTTCGCTTTCCGTGTACATTCTAATTTGTGATTAGCGACACGCTCTGCTGCTACAACTGCCGCTACGACGTATCGTAATGTTGGAGATTTAATTTCGAGATTGTCAGATTAAACTCTCGATCGGGCCCGTCAGTGCCAGATCACGCGACCTGAGTGCGAGAGCAGCGGAACCCGGAGATCCCGAGTTCGCGGTCACCACGTAAGAATTTTGTTTTTCCGGACCGGTCCCCTTCAATCGATTTTATCGGTTGATCGGTTGAACTAAATCGGACCTCCAAAAAAATGAATTCGGGTGTAATCCCGAATTTTTAACCGGTCTGGAGGTTCGCAGCCTGAGTGTCGGGTCTGCGAGCAGAGAGGTCCCGAGTTCGCGAATTTTTCTGGCCGCGGGGTTCCTTCGGTCGAATACAGTTCCCCAGGGGCGAAGCTTCCTCCGGAAGTGAACGCCCAGGGAGATCCAACTTATCGACTGAAATGCCGAACTGAATCGGGGCCTCAAATCAGCTTACTGATACATTTTCCGGTAGCTTGGCGGAAAATGCCGGGAGCTAAAGGTTAGCCGGCAAGCAAAAAAGGGCGGGAGTCACAGAGGAACTCATAAAACCAGATCTAGGTGACATTTTAGGGACTTTTTTGTAGTCCCACTCCCGCTCCAAACATATCCATCTGTCTATCTATAGATTAAACTCAATTCGAATAACGTTTCTTAAAATAGGAAAATTTATCTGGTTTTATAGTACATCAGTTATAGTACATCAGTAATTAGCGTGTCAATAATTTTGCAAGCTATCAAAACTGTATTGCACGAGGTAACGGTTGTCGACAGCACACGTGTGCGATAGAATTTCGGCATTATCGGCGTTTATGACACCTTATCTTCGTTTATAACTCGCCTAGTTTTCCACGTAATTACAGACACGTACTAAACAGCGCTGTTTACAACCTTTGTATTTTTGTTTACGTCTGCTTTTGAGGAAGAATGTGCCCCTTCTCTTCTTCCCTTTTACTTTCGACAGTTAGACTTCTGTGTCTGTCGGAGTTCAGTTGCCTTCGGACTCGTGCGAACTGAAATAAACGCTCTCAGTACACCCCTCACATTATAATCGTCAGTTAGAATCACCTTCACATCTCTCTGTCCTTCGAGTTACCTTCGACGTCTTCAGCGACTAACAGTCTTACTCGCAAAAACTAACTAATCAAGTTTTTCTAAAGAGAGATGTATAAAGAACGCATATATACAGGGTGTTCCAGAATTGGTGTGACATCTCTCGTAGGCGGGCAGAAGGAGTAAAACTGAGTCGAAAAGTCCTGAGCCATTTTTTTCTATTATTTATAATAAAGGAGTAATTATTGAGTAAATCAGAGGCCAATCAGCGCCGATCTTTAGCCAGGCGCACGTCAGCGAGCCACGCGCCTGGTGTGTGTGCGAGCGCTCCGCGCGGTTGAGAGATGTCGCACCAATTCTGGGACTGTATATATATAATATATATAATAGATATATATATAATATATATATATATATATATAATATATATAATATATATATATTATATATATAATATATATAATATATATATAATAGAACTTTATCGCAAGCGAAAGAATATATTCCTATCAGTTTTTTTTTTTTTTGCAAATTGTAACACAGTATCTTTAATTAATTATTACTGGTGTCGCGGTCACTCTATCAATATGCGTCAATTTATAAAAATGAGATTTTGCAAAAAATTTAAAAGACCATACATTTTGTTAAACCGGCCACGTTGTACTACACGGGAGTAACTCGTTATTTGATATTCTGGCAAACGTTTAAAGTTACGCTTTACGTAACAATAACGATCAGTCCGTGACTTGCTCTTCCGATCGGGCACAAAGGAATCAAGAGAGATGGACCAAAGGGACTTGACTGCCAGTCAGTGTTCCGCCTCTTCCCTCTTGCCCAGATACTCGCCCTTAACGTACCGTCCTTTTAAGCGGGACCTTCGCGTCGAGAATCGCTTAACGAGTCGGAAAAATCAAGTCTTCTTCGTCGAGTCCGACCATTCGTTTTTTGCGTTAACGCAAAATCGTGTTTAATTAACCGTAAAAAAAAAAAAACTAACGACAATTTTGCGGTATCACTGCGCGCGAGTAAAACGCGGTCGAAAATATAATTAACAAACTTGTGGAGTCATAATAATAATTCTCGCGAAGAAATGTAAAACAGAGAGTTTAAGACAACGTTAGAACAAAAAGTGATATATCATTTATCTTCAAAGTAAAAAACTTCAAGTTCGCTCTTCGGAGTAAACAATGATCTCCTGAATTCTTCATTTATATGTTATTTCTCTTTCCTTAGCTTTCAAGTATTTACATGCTTCTTATAATTAAGCCGCGCGAGTAAATGAAATAGAATAGTATCGTTGCTAAAAAGCGGCACATCTCTCTCTCTCTCTCTCTCGCTCTCTGTTTCTCTCTCTCTCCGAGACTTAATTAGAAAGTGAGATCCCGTTACTTTTGTAACAGAATCTTACTTTCTAATTAAGAGCAAGTAAATGTAAATTTTTCCGACTCCCCCTCTCAAAGTCTGAACTTTTTCAATCCTTCCGACGTTAAATAGCAATTTAACCCTTCGCCGTATTTTCTGTACGGAATAATCGGAATTACCCTTTTTTTTTTGCTCGCTTCTCTTCTTATTGCGCATAACACCGCGCGTATCCGCGTGTTTTCAATTAACTTGAGCCACGTATTGTGAAGAAGAGTTGAACAAAACTTGGTCGTTAGCCTGCGAGAGTTTCGAAGACTTCGGTATATCGAGATAAAACGATAATGCAGGCTCGACGGATCCCCCGGAGAGAGGGTGGCACCCTTGGCTCGAGGGTGCGCCGTCAGATTTGTCTCGTTAGAGTTCGTATTGTGTCTGCCCATGGTCGATTTACGCTCTCGCCTTATAGCCATTCGTCGTTCTTCCGCTGCTTTCTTGGACCATCCAGAGAGTCTCTCTCTTGGCCTCCTTTTTTTCTCTTCTTTCGTATACGATCTAACGAGCTTCCATTAAGACCACAATGCGTTTCCCTTGTTTGCGCGTGATTGGCGGTATTTACTGTGTGTCTCATATTGTACGCATTTTTACATTGTACGGAGAAAAGTCTGTACGAACCACGAGAGGAGAATATTCTCTCGCGTTCAAGAATAATGCAAATATACGAAGAATCGGAATTATTGATGTAACTATCAGAGTGCAGAATTTTGAAAAAAAAAAAACACTTAACGCAAAAATAAAATTAGTTGTTTAATACAATTTCGTGAAAGTTTTATTATATAATATTCTCGTTCAAGAATAATGCAAATATACGAAGAATCGGAATTATATCGATGTAACTATCAGGGTGCAAAATTTTGAAAAAAAAACACTTAGCGCAAAAATAAAATTAGTTTGTTTAATACAATTTCGTGAAAATTTTACGAGCAATAAACGCTTCGTTTTCGCGCGCGCAGTCGCGCGCAAAACTATGTAATTATTTTAGAGTAACTACTTCGGCAAAACCCAACTTACGTAATCACAAATTTTCGAAGTGTGTTATATATATATATATATATATCGTATATATATGTATATTTTTAACTATCTTAAAATATGCATGAAATATACATATATATATATAAACTTGCTGAATAGACTCGGACATCTCTCGTGGCTCTTTTCAGAGAACTTTTTTTTTCTTTCGGGTTAAAATATACCGTACTTTCTCACTAACAAGAAAGTATCATTAGCAGGGATCGATAACCTTCGTCGAGCTTCTTGTCCCAACTTCTAAAGTTACGGCATTTAAAATTCCGTTTAAGACTCAACTTCCAAGTTTCTTCTTAGGCCGTAGAAATTACGAGCATATCGGTACTTTACTTTCACAGATAGGATCATTAATTTACAGCAACACTTTTTACCAAAACGATGCCATTTGCTTTTATTAGTATTTATACGGACAATTCGTAAAATTAACGATAATGATGATAATACCGTCGTTTAAAAAAAAAAAAAAAACGTACGTGTTTGTAATTTTATATTGATATAAAACTCTTCGGTGATACATATATATGTATACATCATATGTATACGTGTATACTGATATAATATGTACGCGTGTGTGTGTGCCAGAATATTGCGAAAAAGTATCATTTAACGCGTGTAATAAATGTTTATACGCTTTTATGCATTTATCGTATATATTTTTTATTCCTTATGTATCTCATGCGTTAAATCAGTTTTGTTTTATTATAATAAATACGAGACGTGATCGTAAATCGCTGGGGGATATACCTAAAAATATTAAATGTTTCAAATAAAAAGCAGATATGATATTTTTTGTCAGCAATAATATTGCAAATTTATCCGTTTGCGTATAATTATAAAATTTTGTCTACACAGTATAAATAATATATAAATCTCGAATATCTCACGTCGTTAAAACGATCATTTAGTCTACACAAGAGTGTAAATTAAAAATAATGTTTGTTACATTAATTACTATTAATTCAGCTCAATGCGCAATTAAATTTAAAATATTTCCTTTTTCAATTTTTACATGAAAAATGTAAACCACGTAAAATTCTTTTCATCATAAAATATCTGACGCTTATTTCTCTTTTTTTCTTTTTAATTTACTTGCTGGAGAATTTAATATATCTGTCTCCTTTATTTTCGCACCTTTTTATATGAGGTGCGATATTCAGCCGACACTTAAAGTATAATCTTTCACGTTCGCTTTTGCTTTTTTTGTCGCAGCGAGTTCACCGGAATCGCGCACTTGTCCGTACCTGGGTAAATTCACGGTGACGGACGTGAATCGGAATCCACGGAACACGCGCGAGAACCGCAAAAATCAACACCAGCAGGAGTCTATGTCCATTCGGCGAGATGGCGAAAAGGTGCGGCACGCTCAGGAGAGGAACGAGGACCGGCGCGGCCGCAAGCTGGATTACGAGGTCGAGAAGAGACGAGCGAACAACGAGTACCTGGTGCACGAGAGAATGGGTCGGCGGGTGCGCTCGAATCACGGCGGGAATCGGAGTCGCAAGGATTACAGCCTGGAAGAGATCTCCGCGTCGAGAAGATCCTCGGAGCTGATAAAAGACACGTTCCGCGATTTGCGAGAACGCGCTCTGCGAGCGAAGGTCCGGTGGCCGGAAGATCTGACCGAGCAACGCGTCGCGGAGAGCACGTTGCGCTCCAAGACAAGGAGATCGCGCGCCGTCGATGAACGCGCGTCGCAGCGCACGAGATACGAACAGATCAAAAACGGCGAGATGAACTCGAGACTCCAGCCGAACAGATCGACGAGATATCCCAAGATCGAGGATTTCCAATCGAACAGAAACGACGCGAACTGGGTCGTCGATTCGGACGACAGCTGGACCACCAGCACGCTGCAGGTGCAGGACGAATATTTCGGGGATTATCTCGAGTCCGAGAACTTGCCGCGAAAGAGATCCACCACGTCCGGCAATCCGGCTAACAAGGGTATGACCTTCAAAGATCTCGTGAGGATGAAAAGGGAGCTCGAGGAGTACGAGAGGGACGAGGATATCCCGGAGAGGCGGGAGAAGAGAAACGAGGACGATCCGAGGTGCAGTTCCGAGGTGACGACCTTAACCGTGGGCTGCTCCACGGCGGACAGGATGGAGTTTCAAAGTGACTGCGTCGACGATGACGCTATCACCGGTAATTATCTCTGCCTTTTCTCCCTCTCTCCCTCTCTCTCTCTCTCTCTCTCTCTTTTTCTCTTTCTCTCTGCCGTCGCACCAAGAGAAGTCACCTTGTGCGGTGACTTCTTGAACGCGATCGCTATAGCGTGGCCGAGTGAAAAAGGATCTTTTTTTCCTCAGACATCTGAGCGCGGAATTCGATGCGACTTATCAAAATGTCTTTAACGCTAAAAAAAACCCGATAGATATTTATCTGCTTAGACAAAAAACGTTTTCTGTTTTATTTTTACATTTGTCTGCAGTTATTTTCTGAATATCTTGGAGTTTTTAATTGTATTAAAAACTGAATTAGATCGCACCGAAAAAATTATATTCTTGTAAGTAGAAGATTTTATACTTAAAAAATCTTCTTAAAGATCTTAGATGATATTTTTCTGAAATTAAGAATATATTCTTTATTTAAGAAT